CCTGTTCACAACCACAATGAAGTTTCTTCCCATTAGCTTTCTCATATTGGCTTTAGCAACTGCCGCCGCTTTAGCTTACGACCCGAGTCCTCTTCAGGACATATGCGTGGCAACCAGTGATATGGAATCTGGAGGTTGGTTCCTCAATTCTTGCATTAGTCATGTATTTCATATCTGCCTTATGATGCCGAAACTGAGACGCCAATTTTTTTTCTTATGCAGTATTTGTGAATGGAAAGTTCTGCAAGGATCCCAAAGAAACCACAGCTGATGATTTCGTCTTTATGGGGTTCAGAACTCCTGGAAACACATCGAATCCGCTCGGATCAAAAGTCACACAGGCTTTTGTCGACCAATTTCCAGGACTCAACACTCTTGGAATATCCATGGTTCGCATTGACTTCGCTCCTGGCGGCCTAAATCCTCCCCACACTCACCCTCGTGGCACCGAGGTTTTGGTAGTGGTGGAGGGTACGCTACTTGTTGGCTTTGTCACGTCCAATCAATTAAACAACACACTCTTCACCAAAGTCCTGTACAAGGGGGACGTGTTTGTGTTCCCTATTGGTCTCATTCACTTCCAGTTGAATATCGGAAACACGTATGCGCTAGCCTTTTCCGGTCTTAGCAGCCAGAACCCAGGAGTCATTACCATTGCTAATGCTGTCTTCGGAGCGAAGCCACCCATTTCTGCTGATGTTCTTACCAAGGCCTTCCAAGTGGACAAGAAGGTTGTTGACTATCTCCAGGCGCAATTTTGGTACGACAACAACTAAATGAATCTATCATAAGTTACACAAAATAATTGAATTATAAGAGTTACGAGATTAATCTTATTTCCATAAGTGGTTGTGTTAGACACATAACTAAACTACATACCACATGTATTATTGATTTCGAGTAAATCATTGTTACCTCTCTCTCGACTGGTATCCAATAAAAGATTGTTACCTCTCTCTCTCTCTCTCTCTCTCTCTCTCATGACACGATCAGGATAATTGGACTCATTCCTCAATTAAAATGTCTATAAATGGAAAATCAGAGTGCAATAACATTAAACTATGTACAATTCGGAACTGGGAAGGATGTTATCTAATAGTAAATATTGCTTCCCACATCAACGGAATTTGTACTCCAAAAAGGGTATCATGCAAAGAATGTCCAACCCTATTAAATAGTCTGATTTAAAACAGTCTTGTGATTGAGTACAGAGACTATTTAAAGAAATCATCAGGGCGATTGTTAATACATCCGGCCCTTAGGTGGCCAAAAATAAAAAAGAACCGCTTTGTTTCCATCATTATCTTGAAAGGAGAAGTTCACCACAATATGTCAATTTCCTTAGAGTATCAAATTCAAGTTTGATAAATTACTGCTGACGACATTTCTCATTTTTTTACCGACATACTAAATTCTGCAGATAACTTTACTTTTTCTTTAGTATGGCCAGAAGAAAAATCTTTCCTGCACTCATTTTCCATCTACAATCAAAATGTCGGGTTGAAACCTCATAATTTCGGCTGGATAATTATTTCCAGGATTGTCGTGGCCTACAATATCATTTATAAATGTGTATGCACGGACAAAGTCAAAACCTTGAATAAGATATGGACGGCATTGATCTCTTTATTGAAGCAATCACTATTACAATCTCAAATAGACCATCGATGGACATAAAGGGGAAATATAGAGACACAAATGCGTTACTTCCTATGCACTTATTTTGACAATTTCCAAAGAACGAGAAAGCTAAGTTGCTTCTCAACCTTAGCTTGGAATGATCTAAGACTCTATATGACAATTGAACCGAAAACAAACTTAGACATATCATGAAGATGGACATGAGTCTGAACAAAATCGTCGTGCAATTCAATTTGGTCTAACCGTTTAATTTCAAATATGGGTCCGAAGTGGCCATTTGGTCTCAAACAAGAGATTAAGCTCCCCGGTTGGCAAGTACATATGCTTATTCCGGTAGCACGAGTAGGGGCATTTTTGTCCATAGTCATTTTTTTTTCTTTTTTTTTCCCATCTTTTCATTGTTCATCTTCTTGATTCTTGGAGGGAAGTTGCAGGTCTCAAGCTCACCTCCAAATCTGGCCATCTTACATGACCATGGGCATTCAAGCGTCGCCTTGGCCCACTTTTCAGATAGCCGTCCATGGCCACCGGCACTAAACGAGCCGTTGTCTCTCTCTTTACACTCAAAAGCATATATTTAACTTAATCCCAAAACTCTTCGATCTCTTTCTCAATAACTTGATTTAGCCCCCCAAAGAGCCATGGGATAGCTCGACAAGAAAACCATGAATTGCTAGTCCGGCAACCGCAGTAGCACGGTTCCGACAAGAAGAAGAAGTTTGAGCTGGCGGCACGCCCTCAAACGTCGGGCCGAAAGCGCAGAATCGAAAGGGCCGGAGGCTGCTATGAGGCCCAACCGTTACGCTGTTGACCAAGTGCAACCTTTGGCTATTGAAGTGATAGCGGAATAATGACTACCGGCTCATGGAGGAGTTCGTGATGAACGAAGATCAGCTCAAGCCATGGCCACGTGCAACGATGGCTCGTTTCGCAGCCGATGGCCATGGATAGCCCGGTCTCGAAGAGCTTGCCAAGAAGACGCCCGAATGCGAGCCAACAGCCATGGAAGACTTGAAGGAGGAAGAAGAGAAAAAAATGAAAAGAAAAAAAATAAAAAAGAAATGTTATGAAGGAAGGCCGTGGGTGACTTCCAGGCAAGTGGAACACAATAACAGAGTAATGGCAGTGGAACATATATTAAGTTGTCCAACACGTCCAACATCTATAGAGCACGCAATCATATAATATATTTCCGAGACGACCTCCTCGCCTTCGAAGACTTTCACCAAATATTTCCTCAAACTTAGCCCTGTCACTACAAAAAAACAAGGATTTAGCCACGGAAATTTGCGACGAATTATTTTTCGTGGCTAATTGCAATGCAATTTGTGACGAATATATTTTCCGTCGCAAATTAGCCATGAAAAATAATTCGTCGCAAATTTCCGACGAATTTTGTGACGAAAAAAAATTCGTGGCTAATTTGCGACGGAATATGCCACGGAAAAAAAATCGTCGCAAATTTGCGACGAAATTTACCACAAAAAAAAATTCGTGGAAAATTTGCGACGGATTTTGCCAAGAAAAAAATTCGTGGCTAATTTGCGACGGAATTTGCCACGAAAAAAAATTCGTGGCTAATTTGCGACGGAATTTGCCACGAAAAAACATTCGTCGCGAATTTGCGACGGAATTTGCCACGAAAAAAAATTCGTGGCTAATTTGCGACGAAATTGCCGACGAATGTTTTTCCGTTTCTAATTTGCGACGAAAAATAAATGTCGTCGCTAATTTGCGACGAAATTTCCGAGAGTGTTCGGTATGCTTGTTGGGATCCGCTTTCGCCGTTTTTCTAGGCGTTTGCCTCCGCTTATGCTTCGTTCAATGTATGTGTTGGGTCTACGTTTGGGTCCGCCGCTCCGTGCTTCGCTTCTATGCTTCGCTTCGTGCTTCGCTTCGTGCTTCGCTCGCGCTGCGCACTCGCTAAGCTTCGTGCTTCGCTTCGCTAAGCTTATGTGCTTCCGTGCTTCGCTTACGTGTCGGGCGGCTTCGTGTTGGGTCCGCGTCTACCCGTGTTGGCTGGCTTCGTGTTGGGTCCGCGCCCGCACGTGTTGGGTCCGCCGTTCGTTCGTGGGCGAAACAGTTGGTCCGTTTCGCCCACGAATTTGGTTCTATTCGTGTGCGAAACAAACCAGTTTCGTGGGCGCTTCTGTGCTTCGGCTTCTGCTTCTGTGTTGGCTTTCGTGGGCGCTTCTGTGTTGGGTGTTGGCTTCTGTGCGAAACAGATTGGGTCTGTTTCACCCACGAACAGAATCAAATTCGTGGGCGAAACAGAAACAGAACCATTCTATTTCGCCCACGAATTTGATTCTGTTCGTGGGCGAAACAGACACAATCTGTTTCGTTCGCCCACGAAACAGAACGAAACATAATCAATTTCTCATATTTAGGTTGAAATTTGGTCGGATTTAGGTTGAAATTGAGTTGAAATTCGTTTGAAATTTGGTCGAAATAAGGTGAAATGTGGTCGGAATGAGTTGAAATTTGGTCGGTCAAGTGGAAACGGCCCGCTGATCGAAATTCACGGCCTATGGCCGTGATGCAAGCCATTTTTTGGCTTTTGGAGTCGTTTAGATGGGTTTTTTGGCAAAAAATGATTCTGGTGAATAGTGTTTTCCGTGACATTTCCGCTTTTTTTTTTCGTTTCGGAGTCATTTTATCATTATCTAGGTTTGAAAACTATTTCCAAACCTTTTTTGGCCTAGGTTGAAGCTTTGGCCATCGGGGTAAAACTATTTCCGTGAATTTGGGTTTTGGAGTGGCTCTCTTCGAGGTAAAAACTTATTGATTTTCTTGTTGAAGTTGATATATTCATTTTGAACAGAACTTAGTGATTTACTTGCATCATAAAATTTGTTGTGAAAGTGTAACTTATTAAGTTCTAAGGCTTTCAAAACATGCAATTAAATTTTAAAACAAGTCGAATTACAGAAATTAACTGAAAATTTGATGACCCTGACCAGCTAGATGAGTTCTTCCTTTTTTACCGTTGTAGGACCAAAAATTTAGCTCGTAGACATTTCCGGACAGCTTCCTTTTTTTCAGGGGCCATCTCTCTTGCTCTCAATAACAAAATGGTAAGCTTCACGACGTACGTCATTATGTGTCCTTAATATATGTTCATAATTTTCTTTATTTTTGTCTAACCTTGCACCTTTTAGTGTAAACGTGGAGGTCACATGCGTCGTGATGATGCTTCACAAAGAAGACCAGGCCTTTCCTCTTCCTCGTCCTCATCCCCATCCCTTTCCGCTTCCCCTGCCCCTGCCCTTTTATCTAACCCTCAACTAGTACATGGATACATTGGCCCTTCCTCTGACTCTCAAATGCGAACTGAATTTACTTCAATTCCATCGCCTTCGGTTCCACCTTCTTCTTCAACGCAACACTCGAATTATGAAGAAGATACCCGATTCATGATAGCCCCATTTGGAGATTCGTAAGTATTTCATTTTTTTAAATATATGTGAATTATTATGGATGTCAACTGAATTGTCTGTATGCTTTACGGATGCTATGTATGTTGAAATAAGTTATAACCCGTTTGCAGATTCACGGATTCTACGCATGTTGTGAGGAGACTTAATAAAATAATCGATAACTATTGGATGGGGCAGTTTAGTAGTTGGACCACTGCTCCAAAAGAAGTAAAGGAATTGTGGTGGAATGAGTTCAAGGTAAGTTTTGTCATTTTATTTCCTCACAAACTAAGTTCGATTTAGCATACTGAGCGTACAATTATTTTTCTATTGATTGCTTGCAGCGGAAGTTCAGGTGGGATGAAGCGGAAGAGAAAGAAGTTAAAAGAATTTTTAAGAAGAAAGCCGGTGATCACATGCGAAATGTGATGAATAGAGCAAAGAAAGACAAGAAAAGCCGGATTTTATTACAGCCGACAATTGGGCGGAAATCAAAAGAACTTGGGACACCGAAAAGCATAAGCAAATCAGTGAAATTAATAAGAAGAATCGAGCTTCTAGTTCTAGTGAAGGGTCTGCCACATATGCTGGGGGTTCTATTAATATCGGGGAGCATAGAAAAAGAATGGTAAGTCTTTTAAACATGTTGTAAAGTTAAATCAATAATTACTCATTTCATTTATGTTTATATTTTGTAGGCAGATGAATTGGGGACGGAACCAACATTTATGGCTACATTTGAACGCACCTTTCAGAAAAAAGATAAGACATGGACCGGCAATCGAGCAAAAGTTATTAAGGTATGTAAGGTTATATTTTGTATTTATATATATGAATTTTTTTTTTATTAATATTGTTAATGTAGGACAAATATGATGAACTTGTAATGAGCACGGCTGCTGCTAGTGGTGATGGTGATGGTGATGGTGATGGTGCTGCTGCGTCCGAGCCATCTGTTGACAGTATGGCATTATGGATGGAGGCATCGGGTGGAATGAGAAGAGGTCAAATATTTGGGATGGGATCCTTGTCAAGGATGTACAGAACGCCGGCTGCTGCAACTTCATCCTCCAGTGCGGCTTTTTTAAGGGCACAACACGAGGAGCGAACGGACCAAGAATTGAACCGCTTGAAACAATTACTGGTACAGAAGGATGAAGAAATGAAACAGTTACTTGTACAGAAAGACGAAGAAATGAAACAATTACTTGTACAGAAGGACGAAGAAATGAAAGGAGTGAACCAACGTTTGCAATTGATCATGCAACACCTCAACCTCGAAGCTGATGACGGTCCTCCTGTACCTCCTACTAATCCAGTAGGTGATGGCCACAATGATGATGATAATGAGATTCCTGATGATGATGATGATGATGATGATGATGATGCTGATGCTGATGCTGATGCTGATGCTGATCCTTGCTAGTTTAAATTTCCAAGAGGTACTTATATCTTTGTGCTTCTGCTATTGAATAGATGTGAAAAAATTAACAGGGGTTAGGAGTTTGATATTGTGATGTTTGCGCTGCAGATGGACAGGACTTCGATTCTTGGAAATCAATAGTTTGCCGCAACAGTTTGCCGCAACGTGAAAGAACTTCTTGGCAAGATCAATAGTTTGCCACAACAGTTTTCGAACTTGCTAATTTAGAACATTGTTTCATTTCTTTCTTTTTGGGGTTTGTTCTTGTCTTGACTGTGATTTTCTATCAATGTTAATTAGATTTCAAATCGAAATCGTTCCTACACAACATTCGTCGCTAAAGTATTCATTAAAATTCGTCGCCAAATTTGTTTTCAAATAATGTCGGCCGCAATAGTCAAAATTTTTCGTGGCAAAATACTGATAACAAAAAAATTCGGGCAAATTAGCCACGAATTTTGCCACGAATAATTCCAGTGGCAAATTAGCCACGAATTTTGCCACGAATAAACTCGTCGCAAAAAAAAAAAAAATTTTTTGGCAAATTAGCCACGTGATAATTAGCAACGACTTTTCGCCATGAAAATATTTCGTCGCAATTTCGCGACCAAAAAATAAATCAAAATAATAGCGACGACTTTTGCCACGAATAGATCTCGTGACAAATTACCGACGGATTCTTGTCACGAATAATATTCGTGGCAAATTAGCCACGGATATTTGCCACGAAAAATATTCGTGGCAAATTACCGACGGATTCTTGTCACGAATAATATTCGTGGCAAATTAGCCACGGATATTTGCCACGAACAATATTCGTGGCAAATTACCGACGGATTCTTGTCACGAATAATATTCGTGGCAAATTAGCCACGGATATTTGCCACGAAAAATATTCGTGGCAAATTAGCGACGGATAGGCCACGAATAATATTCGTGACAAATTAGCGACGGATATTTGCCACGAATACTATTCGTGGCAAATTAGCCACGAATTTTGCCACGAATAATTAGCGACGAATTATTTTTCGTTGCAAAATTAGCCACGAATTTTGCCACGAATAATTAGCGACGAAAAAAATTCGTCGGAAATTAGCCACGAAAATTGGAATTTTCCGTGGCAAAATTTTGCGACGGCCTATTAGCGACGATTTTTTTTCCGTTGCTAATTTCGTCGCAAATTCATTTTGCCACGAATTTTGTCGAAATTTTTCGTGGCAAAATTCGTGGCAAAACCCGGCTTTTTTTGTAGTGTGTGTTTGGTGCTTAGTCTGAATGGTATTTTATAACTGATGAAGGAAAGCCCCGGGTAACTTCCAAACAAGTGGAACATGATAACAAAATAATGGTAATTGGAGAATATATTAAGTTGTATAATACGCCCAACATCCAACTAACATGCAATAATATAATATATTTTCGAGACGACCTCCTCCTCTTCTCTTCTTTTTCTTTTTCTTTTTTCTTTTTTCCTTTTTCCTTTTTCCCTCTCCTAGCCATCGCCAGGTCTCGTTGATGGCCAACGGATTAAATGCTCATAAACAAAGTCGATCTATGACTTTCTTTTCATTAGGATGCAGAGAAGTGGCAGCTTGGGACAAGAACAGTCTCTTATTACCTACAATCCACGAACCATGCACGGGAAAACAGAAAAAAAAAAAAAAAAGGTGCCAATGACCTTAAATGGTCAAACCGCGGTAATGAACTTATCGTTTGTGCAAGAATGCTTATTTTATCCATTTTGGTGCAACAAAAGAGTGCAATGCAACCAAGTAAATGTTAAGAACTTTGGTATTGGGTAACAAAGATGGGGGACATCGATGGCAAAAGTATTTTCGGGATAAAGATGGATATGGATATTGTTTTCCTTTTGCAATCTAGATAACCAATTCGTTCTTTTCGAGATATGTCATTGTCGCAGAACAAATGGTCTTTACTTGATCAGGCTGTATTGATTATGCTAGAGAGTTTACCATTTTTCACAAGAAAAGTGAAGAAAAACGGCACAAGGATGTAAAAGTTATCGAAGACCACTTCCGTATCAGACGACGTGCCTTCTTCAAGCTGGAGGGAGAGGAAATCAAACGAATCACCAAGTCGTCGCAGTTGTTGTCGAACGGTTCATCCATGGACTTGAGAAGCGGGAAATAGATTCTACTTTGAAGACTTGGTAATATGCAGGGTAGCTTCCCCAATAAACTATATCTCCATATAATCGCACCTTGAATCATTAAGTAAGTCATGTCTTATAAAGAAAGTGGAGCTAAAACCTTCTTTTCATTCGGCAGCTGACAAGTGGCAGTTTGGGAGAAGAACAGGATTTTATTAATTTCCTACCACCCACGAACCTAGCTCGGGAAAAAGAAAATCTACCAAAAGTATTTTATGAAAAGTAAGAAAAATTGTATTAAATGATCAAATCATCATCGATGAGCTTATCATATCTGAAATACGAAGCTCATCAACTTTTGTGCGACAAGAGAGCGCATTTCTAGATATTTTCGGTCTTCTTTGAGTGGTAAAAGAGTTGTAAAAGAAACAAAGAAGAAACGGTACGAGGATTCAAAAATTCATCAAAGACCATATCAAAATCAGGTGATAATTTACCTTACCAAAAAAAAAATCAGGTGATAAGAAACAAATGGCCAAGTCGTCGTAGTTGTTATAGGGTGAGAAGGGGAAAATAGATAAAACCTCTGAAGATTTGGTAGGAATCTGCATGAAAACCTTCTGATGAACCAAATACTGGGTCAAACATTTTCATCTATAAAGAGAGAGCATGTTGCCATGCAAGTCCTCACTCCTCCCTCAAGCAATACTAGTCTGTGCAAGGATTAGAACTCGCGATCAAGGCCCCAACTCCTGTTCACAACCACAATGAAGTTTCTTCCCATTAGCTTTCTCATCTTGGCTTTAGCAACTGTCGCTGCTTTAGCTTACGACCCGAGTCCTCTTCAGGACATATGCGTGGGAACCAATGATATGGAATCTGGAGGTTGGTTCCTCAATTCTTGCATTAGTCATGTATTTCATTTCTGGCTTATGATGTCGAAACTGAAACACCAATTTTTTTTTCTTATGCAGTATTTGTGAATGGAAAGTTCTGCAAGGACCCAAAAGAAACCACGGCTGATGATTTCGTCTTTATGGGGTTCAGAACGCCTGGAAACACATCGAATCCGCTCGGATCAAAAGTCACACAGGCTTTTGTCGACCAATTTCCAGGACTCAACACTCTTGGAATATCCATGGCTCGCATTGACTTCGCTCCCGGCGGCCTAAATCCTCCCCACACTCACCCTCGTGGCACCGAGGTTCTGGTCGTGGTGGAGGGTACGCTACTTGTTGGCTTTGTCACGTCCAACCAATTAAACAACACACTCTTCACCAAAGTCCTGTACAAGGGGGACGTGTTTGTGTTCCCTATTGGTCTCATTCACTTCCGATTGAATATCGGAAACACGTATGCACCGGCCTTTTCCGGTCTTAGCAGCCGAACCCAGGACTCATTGTCATTGCTAATAATGTTTTTGGAGCGAAGCCACCCATTTCTGCTGATGTTCTTACCAAGGCCTTCCAAGTGGACAAGAAGGTTGTTGACTACCTCCAGGCGCAGTTTTGGTACGACAACAACTAAATGAATCTGTCATAAGTTACACAAAATGATTGAATTATGAGACTTGTAAAATTAATCTTATTTCCATAAGTGGTTGCTCTAGACACACATAACTAGACTACATACCACATGTATGCCTTATTTCGAATAAAAGATTGTTACCTCTCTCGACTGATTTCAAATAAAATATTATTACCTCTCTCTCTCTCTCTCTCTCTCTCTCTCCCGAGGCGTGTACTTCAACGCGGGTTGTGCCGTAGGTGGTAGATGTTGAGCCTGAGGCGCGTACTGTAACGCGGGCGAGAGACATGGCTTGAGGCATGTACTGTAACGTGGGCCGAGGAGTGCTGGGAATATGGCCAACCTGAGGCGGTACCATTACGTGGGTTGTGCACTAGGAGAACGGATGTTGAGCCCGAGGCGGTACCATTACGCGGGCCCGGGAGTGTTGTGTATATGAGATGGTCGCAGGTGAACCGAGGCGGTACCATTACGCGGGTCACTGGGGAGTGAGGTGGAAAAGATGCGATGAAACGGGAACAAATGCATGAAATGTCATTAGAACATGCATATGAGTGGAATAGTGCTATTATAAGACTAATGTGCAGGTTGCGTATATTGAGAATCAGGTAAGTACGATTGTGTGGACGTTGTTTGTGTGTGGCTTGATTTGGTGTCTCGACTTGTCTGGAATACGTGGTAGCCTAGGTAAGGTTTAGGTTGTGTACTTATTGAGAAGTGTCTCATGGTTGTACCAACCAAACCATTTCGAGCACCCGCCCAAGCTATGAACCTTCCGTCGCCGCCGCTACAACATTTTGGGATTGTTATGCATACTAATCATGATGTGGTAGAGTTCCCGATCGAGATTGAGGCCGATTCGAGTCGTCGGATGAGCCTGTGCCTGATGAGGATTCGGATGAGGATTCCGAAGAGAGTGAGTCAGAGTGGACGCCAGCAGAGGGCGTAGGGATTAGTTTCGGAGCTGAGGAAGAGTCTGGAAGTGCCCTATTTTGGTGTAGCGTTCCCAGGCTACTAATCTTTTGTGATATCGGTGGGTTGCAGTTTAGTAGTTCAATGTGCATATTTGCTTTGTGGTTTGTAAATGGCGATTGTGGCATAAGTTTTTACTGTAAATGGATATTGTACTTAAATTGAGGTATAGTATAAGATTTGGTGGTTTGGCAATTTATTCTCTTTAGTACCCCTGGTAAATCATTGTCTGGGTGTTCGTAGTTTCCGCCGCGATTAAACTCTGATGGGTTTCTTTTGGGTCGGCGACGTTTCCTGGGACGTCGCACTATTTCGACCGAAGAGGGATGTCGCGTGCTCGATGGGGTTGGGGGCGTGACAGTCCCAATCCACATCAGGATTGTCATCAAAATCAATGCTTGTTGCTGACTTGTTTCATAGTTCGACTTCTGCCTTTCTGTGAATACCGTTTCCGGAGCAATTCGGTGGGAGCTCTTATGATTCAAGTACTTCATTAGGAGTACGAAAGAGACGAAATGTATTTGCTACGGTTGCCTCTCATTGACAGTTGAGAATTGAAATGCCTGGCTGAAGGCCAATCTAAACCTGCTCTCAGAGTCAGCTGAATTTGTTCTCCTCAAGAATGACGATCACGTGGTATTTCTCAAACCATGGAGTCAGGTACTGCTCGATCTTAGTTTCAAAAAGAAATAATGGCCCCCTTAATCCTCAACTAAGTCATGACTTATAAGCTCTGGAAGCCACTAGAATATCATTAAATGCTTATAAACAAAGTCGACCTATGACTCTCTTTTCATTAGGATGCAGAGAAGTGGCAGCTTGGGACAAGAACAGTCTCTTATTACCTACAATCCGCGAACCATGCTCGGGAAAACAGAAAAAAAAGGCGCCAATGACATTAAATGGTCAAACCGCGGTAATGAGCTTATTGTTTATGCAGGAATGATTATTTTATCCATTTTGGGGCAATGAAAGAGTGCAATGCAACCAAGTAAATGTGAAGAACTTTGGTATTGGGTAACAAAGATGGGGACATCGATGACAAGAGTATTTTCGGGATGAAGATGGATATGGATATTGTAAGGACCCGGGGTCTACACTGTGTAATATTGTCCGCTTTGGGTCCACTGACCCTCACGGCTTTAAAACGCGTTACACAGAATAGAGAACCCAAGCCTTATAAACTAGCCTAGGACTCCCCCCTAAGCGATGTGGGACAAGAGACATGCCCCCCTTGCCATCCTAGAAGCCTGCCAGGAGCCGCTCCTTGTCCAGGCCCTCTGGCCCCGGCGACCACTCCCCGCCCTCGTCGGACCGGGTCGTTACAGATATTGTTCTCCTTTTGCAATCTAGATAACCAGTTCAATCTTTTGGAGATATCCCATTGTCGCAGAAGAAATGGTCTTTACTTGATCAGGCTGCATTGATGATGCTAGACAGTTTACCTTTTTTCACAAGAAAAGTGAAGAAAAAACGGTACAAGGATGTAAAAGTTATCGAAGACCACTTCCATATCGGACGACGTGCCTTCTTCAAGCTGGAGGGAGAGGAAATCAAACGAATCACCAAGTTCTCGCAGTTGTTATGGAACGGTTCATCCTTGGACTTCAGAAGCGGGAAATAGATTCTACTTTGAAAACATGGTAATATGCAGGGTAACTTCCCCAATAAACTATATCTCCATATAATCGCACCTTTAATCATTAAGTAAGTCATGTCTTATAAAGAAAATGGAAGTAAAATCTTCTTTTCATTTGGCTGCTGACAAGTGGCAGCTTGGGAGAAGAACAGGATCTTATTTCCTACCACCCACAAACCTAGCTCGGGAAAAAGAAAATCTACTAAAATTATTATGATGCAAAATAAGAAAATTTGTATGAAATGATCAAATCATCCGCGTTGAGCTTATCATATCTAAAATACTGAGCTCATCAACTTTTGTGCGACAATAGAGTGCATTTCTAGATATTTTCAGTCTTTGTCAGATATTAAACCCTGCACAAGATATGCTCTTTACTTGGTAATCTTCTTGGAGTGGTAAAAGAGTTGTAAAAGAAACAAAGAAGAAATGGTACGAGGATTCAAAAATTCATCAAAGACCATTTCAATATCAGGTGATATGCATTCTTTAAGCTGGAGGAGAGGAAATGAAACAAATCGCCAAGTCGTCGGAGTTGTTATAGGGTGAGAAGGGGAAAATAGATAAAACCTCAGAAGACTTGGTAGTAATCTGCATGAAAACCTGCTGGCAAACTAAACACTGGGTCAAACATTTTCATCTATAAAGAGAGAGCATGTTGCCATGCAAGTCCTCACTCCTCCCTCAAGCAATACTAGTCTGTGCAAGGATTAGAACCTGCGATCAAGGCCCCAACTCCTGTTCACAACCACAATGAAGTTTCTTCCCATTAGCTTTCTCATATTGGCTTTAGCAACTGCCGCCGCTTTAGCTTACGACCCGAGTCCTCTTCAGGACATATGCGTGGCAACCAGTGATATGGAATCTGGAGGTTGGTTCCTCAATTCTTGCATTAGTCATGTA